AATTTTTGCCCTGTTGCCAACTGTGAATGGTATAAAAGCGATTCCTTCTTAATGCTTTTTCAATCCAGCTGAAGTCCAGCAAAGTGACCTTTTTTGCTACTCACTTTCTTATACACATTCTAGCATGGAGAATTAATATAAATGAAACTTGCTTTGTAAATCTTCCCCACACTTGGCTTTTCCATTGCATACCATTATTTGTGTCTATTTAGGATATAAGCTCTCAAGGGCAGGAACTATCTTCCTGTGTGTACAGTGCTGAATACTATGTTAGTACTAAAGGCTGATGAATAGAAGTGCATAAAAATTTGCCTACTAGGAATGCAATTGAGACATGCCAATTACTTTTAAATCACAAACTGCTATTAGATAATATTGGCATTTTGCTATTGTGTTGGGTATTGACTACTTTCTGTCATGGTACGTACTAGGACATATTAACTATAGTTTTTCTCTGATGTGTGTACCAGGCTACAAAAGATCCACATCTTGAAATCATTTTGCTCATGTTATCTTGGGAATCAAAATTAATTCAATGTTGTCAAGTAGTAAAAAGTTATCATATCTCAAAATGATATCATAATTGATCAGATGAAGATCATGTTTGTGTGACTGATTGCTAGACATCTGTCCAACAATCTAGCTTCCTTTAAAATGATTAATCCTTTATAATTATTGTACTAGTTATTGTAATATTTTGCATGTGTGCATTACAAAAAGTATGCTTTTAATTTTTTTATTTCTAATATAATCCCCCCCAAACTTTTAACTGGTAAGAAATTCTTGTGCTCAAGCCTTTTTTCCAAAAAAAGGATACTGAAGCTAAAAGCTCCCTGGCAACGAGTTTTGGAAGAGAAAGCAGCTCAATAGTCAACATATCTGTCATTTAACCCCAAGTATTTGAAAACTGATTTAAAAGAAATGAGTTGTGAGAGACAGAAGTAGAATTCATGAAGGTTTAGAGTAAGTAGGTTAAGAAAATAATGCATTAAAAATGGAGAGAGAACTCTTGAGGTATTTGAAAGTTTCCTTTATACTCCATCTTTTGTGCAACACTATAAAACCACTAAAAGTACAGTAAACCTTCATTATAACACCTCCCCCCCCCCCAAAAGGGGAAAATTAATTAAAAAGTGTGTCTCTGATATAATAGAGTTCAGGTGCAGATCCAGGATTTGGCAAAGGGAAGTGTGAGAGCAGTCACCCATGCTGCTGGGGTGGCTGCATCCCCTGATCCCAGCAGCCTCCTTTTCAACCCACTGGTATGGACAGACTGCACCATGGGAACTTCTGGGGATTTTTTAAAAGTCCCCCAAACAGGTAAGAATCTTCCCCTTTTCCCTGTGCACAAAGGCACGTACCTCTCCCCTCCCCACCCCTCCCTTCCCCCATTCCCTGCCTGCCACTGCTGTCCAAGGGGTTGGGAGAGCTTTAGGGACA